AGACACACCGACTGGACACTACAGTACATTAACACTGCACTGAGAGAGAGGGGTTAATACAGTCCAGACACACTGACTAGACACTCCAGTACATTAACACTGCACTGAGAGAGGGGTTAATACAGTCCAGACACACTGACTGGACACTCCAGTACATTAACACTGCACTGAGAGAGAGGGGTTAATACCATACAGACACTGACTGGACACTACGGTACATTAACACTGCACTGAGAGAGAGGGGTTAATACAGACACACTGACTGGACACACCAGTACATTAACACTGCACTGAGGGAGGTAGTAATATTTTAATGCCAGCTTCAAGACACACTAACAGAGGTGATATATCAACAGACTCACCTCATTGAATTCAGGGTTTAGAGTCTTTTTCTTGACAGATGTCTTGTACTTGGACTTCTTGCCTGTGTCAGGACGCAGAACACTGCAGGCAGAGAGATGGACAGCAGGCATGAGAGACAGAAGAGACTAGTGCACAGAAAGGGGAACAGCAGGAAACACATAAGGCCAGACTGACATCTTGACGAAGGGATCAGAGTATCCGTTGGAGTCCATCGCCGCCAGGTGTGCACAGCGGACAATGCCGACCAACAGCGCCCCCCGCTGGACAGAGTAACACAGTGAAACCAAGACGCGTCCCCGATCTACACAGGCCACAGCCTGGGAGAGAGAGAAGTGAGAGTTAGGATATCGCTTTGTGGGCAGGTCCTGGTAAAACAGATACACCAAGCAGCCAGAAGGGAAAGAGAGAAGAGCTGTTGTATATCCAGTGTGAAGCAAAGTACTCAAAGATTGAAAAGCCTGCTCTCGTGTTTGAATTTCTAACTCCAATTCTTCAGTCGCTCTTGAAGTGTCACAGCGAACCCGCCCCAGAGCCGACCGGGGTCTTCTCTTGTCTTCCTGTGTTACCACACTGACACGTTCCTCCCCAACGCCCACGGCTCCTAGCTGTTCTCGCCGGCCCCTCTCAGTGAGGTCTGCACAGCCTTGTTTCATTGCTCTCCACTCGGGGATTCATTCCCTCGGATCTTCCATTATCGTCACTCGTCACCGTTCTTCAATGCCTTCACTCTTCATTAACCTGTTTAACTCCTGACTCGTCTTTCCCTCTGCGCTGATCCTGTTTGGCCTGTGACACTTGTTTGTATGCACTCCTCCCTCGTCTCGCTCTCTCTCTCAGACCACACGCCTGTCCGTTGATGGTGTAACCAGGAGTGTTATCCAGCCTCCCACTCCCTTCTCCAGCTATTCTCGTCTGCTTCCCATTAATCCAGAAGAGTGTTCATTTCCACTCACAGACTATCCTATCCGCTTCTTCCCTCTGGATGCCTGTTATTTAATTATCCTAGGTGTGCCTCATTTCATACTGGTTGCTCTCTCGTCTACCTCGTCTACCCACCTCTACCTCCCTCACACGCTGATCAATTGTACCGAGGAGTGAGACAGAGAAAAGTGAATCTTCATGGGAGCCCCTAAAACTCACAAGATTCAATGATGTTACAGCCCCTCCGAGAACAGGAACAGAAATACCCCAAAACACAGCCACGTTGATGAAGAAAAAGCGCACTGACCTCTTCCTCATATAGAGCCATTCCTCTCTCTGTGTTCGTGGTGAGCTTCGTCTACAAATACAGCAAAAGCAAGATCAGCCTGTGTGTGCAGCTGTCGGGGTGTGACGATTTGATTCTGCTTGTCACTGTCGCGAACAGGTCTGCTGCACTAGGGGACAGTGAGAGACGAAACAGCTGCACGAGGGGGCAGTGAGAGAGAGAAACATTTATCAAGCAGGGATGTTGGAACCGTCTGCTGCATCTGGCCTTGAACTACATGACTCGCAGATCACGTTAACTGCTCTACATGGATGACCTGGTCCTGTTGTCACGTGTTGTCACAGAACAGGGGCTGCACTGCTGGAACAGTACTGGGAGACCTGAGCACTGACAGTCAACCTGGACAAGCCCAGAGTCATAGTTTTTCAGAAAAAACCCAGACCTCAGGGAAACAGGTACCACTTCACACTCAACAACACATTGAAACACACAACCAGCTACACATACCTGGGTCTGATAATCAGTTCATCTGGAAGTTGTGACCTGACAATGAAGGCCTGTCTGTAGAAAAGGCCATAAAAAGCAGGCTTTTCAACATCAACCCTCCCACAAGAAGCTGGCTTCAAATAATTCAACACATTGTCCTATATAGCAATGAAGTGTGGGGTCCCCTCAGAGAACAGGTTCACATAAAATGTGCTAAACACCCCATAGAAACCCTGAACATGGAGTTCTGTAAAAAACATCCTCCATGTGCAGAGAAAATCTCCAAACGTGCAAATCAGAAGACACCAGCCAGCCTCAGGACAGCACTGCTAGAGCACCACAACTCAGACTCAACCACATCACAGCACAGATCAAACAGCAATATCTCTCACACACTGGGACACACACACACACAAACATAAACTGGAATGCTACAGAACCCTAAACAGACAATACACACGAGCTTAATAATTGACCAGCAAATATTGCTGTTAAGAAACAGGAAAGAGAAACAGACCCTGACAAAGTACAAGCTCACTGACCACAATTTGGCCGTAGAAACTGGGTGATAGGCCTGGCTGTTCTCCCACTGCCAGCGGGGAGAAACAAACACTTTCTGCACTTTCTGCTTCACTGTGAGAAGGGGGAGGGACCTCAGCTAAAATGGCAGCCCAGTATGTGATCTCCTGTCACAGCCTGAGGAACAGTGAGCCAAATACAATTTGCATAATGTATGTAAATGTCTGTAGATGTTGTGTTGATTCTACATACTTTGGCCAAGTTGTAATTCGTTGGTAATGCCAATAAAGCTTGTTGAAATGAATTGATAGTACTGCTCCTCTAGGGGGCAGTGAGAGACTGTACAGTTGTACTAGTAGTCATTGAGGGACAGAACAGCACCATTTATTGTATTAGCTGTGTCTTTATTAACTCTAGTTGTATTAACAAAGTCTGGATTCTCTACAGGTGCCCTAATTGCTAGCATTAACTGTCTATTTGCAGTGCCAGTATTAAATAGCAGCGGTGTAACTGTACATAAACACTGTGTTACTACCAGCTGCTGCCTCTCCAGACAGATGTTATAGTTCTTCGTCTGTCCAGCTGTCAGCTTCTTCAGGGGAACCCGAGTCTCCCCAATGAACTCATTGCGCCCCAGCCTGTCCATATCACAGACACACAGCCTGAGAGAGACAAAGGGGAGAGAGCCACAGAAGCACAAAGGATGAAGAATGAGGGTCTGAAATTCACAACAAAATCCACATCAA